TATTTTATTCAGATCTCACTGGTTTTCCCCTAATGTCCTTATGCTTTTTGTTCCAGGATCTCATCCAGGATTACACTGAGTTATAAATCTCCTTAGGCTCCTCTGGGTTGTGACTATTTCTCAGACTGTTTTTGATGACCTTGAAAATTTCAAGTACTGGTCAAGTATATTCAAAAATGCCCCCCCTCGATTTGAAACTGCCTGATGTTTTTCTCATCATTAAGATTGGTATTAGAGGATTTTGAAAAAAAAAAAAAGAGGGCAAAGTACCATTCTCATATCAAGCATACATGCTATCAGTGTGACGAACTGATGGCATTTAATCTAAGATTGTGTTTTGCCAGGTTTCTCCACTGAAGAGTTACTTTCCCCCTCTTTCCATACTGTACTCTTTGGAAGTGAGTTACTTCCAAACTTCCATAACCCACCCTTAAAAGGAGAATTATTTTCTTCCTTAAGGAGGGATTACTCACATAAATGATCTGGAATTCCTTATATGAAGATTTGCCCCTCCTTCCCCATTCTCCGGCCTTCCCTGTCTCTTTCAAACCTCCCTTCTTTTCTTTTACCATTTATATCAGTATGGACTTGTAGAGATTTATTTAAATTTTGGGTTATAATCCAACACTACTTTATTTTGCCACTCAAATTGCTCCACCTTTGGTCACTGGGAGCCCCATAAGGTGCCTCAGAGTCATCCTATGTATTTCCACCCCAGTCTTAGAATCAGCCATTTCTCCAAGGAGCCCTGGTTCCTTTTACTGGAATATTAGAAACCAAAACCTGGGTGCTGGTTCTACCAGCACTGATTTACCAGGTCAGTTCTTGGATGTTAGGGGCCACTTTTGTCTTTCTCAGGAAGCATCATTGATATTTTCCTTGACTATCAGCTGAAAAAGCAATAATGAAACATGGCTGCTAATTAAAACAGGTTTTGTTGGCAGAAAGTATGTAAAAATGAGAGGGACTGGTCTCTTATCCTGTATGTGGGTCCTGATGTACCTGGAAATTTTGTTCAGTTCAGTTAGAGGAATGTTTACAAATGACCAAACTTAAAAAGAGGTTGGCTTGGGGCCAGCAAGTGGCATGGTAGTTAAGGCACTGGACTTTCATATGGGCAACTGCAGTTTGGATCCTGGACCTGGTGGTTTCCTTTCTCATTTTCTTTCTCTCTGTCTCTCTGTAGTGAGCATACGAGCCCTATAACAAATTTAAAAAATAATATAATAAATAATATATATATATGTTAAGAAGAGATAAACCAGATTTAATAGAATCTGGAAACTACTGGGTTGTTGGGAAATAATGACATATGACACATTTTTTTCATAGAAAAACAGAAAAATATGTCATGACTTTCTTGAAGACCTAGTAGATTATCAGAAACTGATTAAAGAAAGTAGATATTTGACCTGGAAGGACTTAGGATGTACATCATAGCTGTTTCTTGTGATAGGAAATGCACTTTACGCTCCAGAAGGCAAATAAGGACCAGATGAACAAAAGTTATTCATCTGATTATTCACTGATTTTCACCCAGGAAAAGCAAGCACCAGCTAATGATTAGAGTAACAAAGGAATGAGCTCCCTCATGTGATAAAAATATCATTACTGAGATCGGGCTTACTGAGCCCCACCACTTTTATTCTTTTGACTTTCTTTTAATTTTGTTTGGAAAGCTTGACATTTTGTCACAACTGACTCAAGCAAGAAAATACACTGTTCAGTTCTCAGGCAGGCAGGATGGGGTAAACAGCATATTCCATAGGAGTCAAATGAGCTTATAGGATGTAATGGGAGACATAAATAGAGGCTTAGAGTTAGTGACACTGTCAGACAGGTAGATGGATTCACTTGCTCATTGTGGTGACTGGAATGACATTATGCAAACCTGCGTGCAATGTGTCCACCAAGTACAAGTGTCTGCATTAAGCACTATTACTGCTCTCTATCAAGCCACACTTCTTTGGCTATTACCTGGCTGTTAGATAACCTGCCCTGCTTTATGTTCCCTCTTCCTGTTGCCTGAGATCTATATGGCAAGGGAAAGGTTCCAGATTTTTACTGTAGTCAGTCCTAATCAATCTGGAGCTATGGGGTGATGTTACACACCAAAAAAAAAAAAAAAGAATTTCAATTCTATTTCCACAGCTTCATACATGCATGTAATAATAATTATGCCTTATAACCCTAGAGAAAGTTTCTTACTATTGTGAGGTAAATACACTTGAACTATTTTAATGCTGAGTGTATTCAGTACTACTGGTATTAGTATTCCGTTGGCTGAATCTTCCTGTCAAGTCCAGTACTTTGCTACATTTGCAAAGTTCAAGAAAAGGCTGCCAGAAGTCGTGACCGCCATCACAATTCCCTCATAATTTATTTACTGCGAAGTTGATTACAATAACGAATGAGATATGGTCTCTACCTTGATGTTAGGGAATTTAGATCTGGGGAATGAGCTCATAGTCTACGAAATGGGACAAAGGCTCATTGGTCTTAGGTATGGACTCTTCATATCTATTCTGGCTGTATCTGAGATGTACCTGACATGTATCTGGTACCGTTTGCATGGGCATCTCATCATTGCATGTCCCTATGTGCATCCACTGTGTGCCTAAATAACTCCCCTTTACATTGAATCTTTATGTTAAGGGCTTCCTATGATGGCAAGAACAAATCATGCCTCTAGTATCTTTTAGGGGTGGTAGTAGAGAAAGGGATTGAAAAGAGAATGGAGGTCAATGCTGATGCCTATTATCTACTCCTGTGGGCCACAAGGGGACTGGGCAGCTGAGCCAGCCTGAGAGACCACCTCATCCTAATTAGAATAATAAAAACAGCTGCAACTTCTCCCCTCATTGAAGATGCTACCAGCTACAAAGACAGAATAATAGAAAATTTCTAAAGGAATTCCTAAGGAAGAAGTAGGAAAATGTGGGCCTGCTGAGGAAGATAAGAGTCCATTCTTTTTTCATATATAATTTTCTTTCTTTCCTTCTTTATTTAATTGTCCAGAGGGTGACTGTGTTCACAACAGGGAGGAAGGGGACAGTGAAAGAGGGAAAAAAAAAAGGTGGGAGGGAGAAAAGTACTTCCAATGGGGTATGATCATACAGCAATCTTGTTTCCTCCATGTCTCTATCCATCAGGAGCCTGGATATGCACAGACATGCTTCCAGCATGTTTTTCAAGCTCCTGAGGCTAGGATTCAAACCATGTTGGGTCACGTGGGACCTGGCTCCCAATACATAGCATTTAACAACTGTGCTACCAGGCTGGCTCATTTTTTTTCTTCATTCATGATAGAGCATGTGCACATGAAAGAAAAAGAGATACACACCTTCCATAGGGTCTGGTCACACTGAAGGAGTGTTTCAAACTGACTGAGCTGAGAACTCAAACCCTGGTTGTCATGTGGAATCTAACTTCTGCTTAAGTAGCACATTACTGGTATGTCATGGAGCTGGCAGGACCTCACTCTAATCTAATAATTAAAGTGTAATATATGCATCTCTTCCCAGCTTTGCATTCAATGGCATATGGTGGTAGTTGAAAATTGGTCATAGTAAAAATATTTACACTGTACGAATTGGCAAAGGCTATAAATCAAGGCTTTGTCCTCTGGAGAGCTGGTTGTTATACATTTACCAAACACCACTGAGTGCACTCTCCAGGCCTAGAATCTAGACTCAAATTCCAGTTTACTTTCCTGTCTGAGAAAACAGGTGTTTCTCTCTCCCAGTCCTGGACATGAATTCAACTTTGTGGTTTCCTGGTTGTAGGAGGGGTTTGATGAGTATAGTGCAATAAGAGATGGAAAGATCATAATGGCATCCAGGGACACAGACACGTTGCTCTATGTCCAGCATTAAAGCATTATGAACTCCTATTCTTTGGTAAAATACATCCACCACCAAAGGAGGGAAAACACTTCTCCTGTTCCCTCTTTCTTTTCCAAAGAAGAGAAGCCACGGGGTCAGTGGGTGGCATGGTAGTTGTGGCACTGGACTCCCACATAGCCAACTGTGATTCGAGTCCTGGACCCCATGGTTTGAAACTCACACCGGGCATATGTGTTTGAATGCACAAAATTTCCAGAGGAGAATGGAGGAGAAGAGAATATGGTGTGGCCATCCTCCCCGAAGGGTGATTTCTCACTTTCTGTCTCTTGCCTCTGTGCCTCTGGTGAATGCATGTGCCCTATAACAAAAATCTCTCTAAGAAAAAAAAAAAAGAAGAGACACGACATTAGTTTCCTTTGCTTGCTTATGCAGTAAGAGTAAAGCCATATGTATTTATTACTTTTTATTTTTGCTGTTTAGTTCGTGATAAACATTTGCTGTTCATAGCAGTTATTTTACTTTGACCAACATATTTTCCCAGTTATTATTTATTTTTCTGCCCAGTATTCATATATACTTCTCATAACAGTACCTTGATTCCTTACTCCCATCCACACTTTGGAAAAGATTGGTCTGCTTCTGGCTCCAGAAATAGGCAGTACTCAGATTTGGCCAAAGTCATGGTGACTGACTTGGGACTAGGCTTGTGGCTGATCAGGGACACCAAGTCACAAGGTGGTTTTAGAAACTATTGAGAAACAAGCAAATACTCTTCCACTGAAATATAAGCTAGGAGCTGCTAAGGAAGGTGAATACCCTACTCACAGAGTTTTATTCGTCCCTGGAGCCAACAATGCCTATAGGTTAAATTACTTCTATATTTGATAGACTTGATATGTACCTTAAACTAGCTGGAGTAGTTTACATGCAACCCAGTGAGTTCTAACTGATATAGCATGTTTTACAATCAGTAGTCTTTTACAATCAGTAGTCTTTTTAAAATAAAAACTGATGACAGTTCTTCTGATATGACGTTGATGTTTTCCATAAAAATAAATGATATACCCTTCTTTTATCTTTATAGTATCTTACTAAAATATATATTCTAAAATATTTGTTTTATTTTGTATATAAAGATATATTTATCTAAAAAATTATAAGCAGAATTTATTTCAAAAAGTCTTTAGAGTATATTATGTAGGGATACTCTTCTTTGGCTCATTCAGAGTTTTAACTGCTTTTACCCTCTGTAAGGCTCCTCCTCTAATAGGAAGTTTTTTAAGAGCAATGTCTGTATCAGCCAGAGGTCCTCCCATGAATCGAGCAGGAGTGCTTTCAACTGTTACTACCCGACCAGAGGGCACCTAAAAAGCAAATGGTAAATATCTAAGAGTCTATTTATGAAATTTTTCAACAAAAGAAACACCCATTCAATTCTTCAGCTTACTTAGCAAAAAGAATGTACACATAAGTACCTAGGATGCAGCATGTCATACAGAACAATAAGGACTACGGAGTCAGGAATAGTGGGTTTGAATTCCACTTCTATTGCTTATTAACTCTGTAATCAGGGGAAATCATGTCCAGCAGAGGATACCAGGAACACTGGCATATAGCATGTGTCTCCTTGCCAGGCAAAGAAGTACTTCACATTTTCCGTCAAATGAGATATAATCTGTATGTTGACTAGTGTTTGTAGCAGTCTCTTAGGAATCCTGGAAAGCTGAGTCTGCTCCAAAGCAGTACTAGACAAGGGTGGATGTGTCTTGCAGATAAATAGGCTTTAATGATGGGAAATTTGAACATCAGACATAAAAAATGTGGGCCAGCCGGTGGTGTAGTGGTTACGGTGCTGGACTCCCACATGCGCAAGGTCCTGAGAGGAGAATGGAGGAGAAGGGACTGTAGCATGATCATCCCCCCGGAGGGTTATTTTTCACTTTCTCTTTTTCTAGCTCTGGTGAGCGCATGTGCCCTCTAACCAAAATCCCTCTTAAAAAAAATGTGAGATGAAAACCCTATAGAAATAACATTTTTAGAGTCTAACTTTAATACCTAAGAAAAGGTTATGAAGAAAAAGAGTCTTACCGTCGTGTTTAGGCCTTTAATATCTGTTTGGTGAAATGTTGCATTCTGTGGTCGCTCGTTGTATCTAGAGGATTCTATAGCTTTTTCCTGAAGCCTTTTTGCTTTCTGTAGATTTTTAAGTTATATAAAAAAACACTTGTATTAATTATGATACTTATAATGAAGATATAAACTATATTTTATTGTGTCTGGCTTATGCTTTGTTTATTACGGAGTCTTAGAATATGCTTTTTCTCACTCAGGCTAAGAAGATAGTTATTAGTAAGTTAGATCCTTTGTGCATTAAATAAGTCACCTAAGAATGCTCTGGAGATTTCCAGAGGCACTGGTCATTAATGACCAAGGAATACAGCAAGTCCTGAGGAAACCAGGTTCAATATTTATCACATAATATGCTACTAAATTTAGATCATGTGGTATACATTTCAAAGTAAGTTGCATATATTAAATACTAATTTGGTAGAACCATGTTTTAAACACTGAAAATATCACAAATTACTTCATTCTTTGCAGTTATATTCAAGCTCAATATTTGAGGCATTAAACAGATGAAATGTAAGGGAACAAATGATCTTCAGGGAAGGGACTGATACTCATTAACTCGTTTTTAAAAATACAAGCCAGTGGCTATATTTTGTAAGCAAAATATAGGAATAACTTTTAGTGAAAATGGGGATACTTGGTAACTTGAATGAGCTTGTTCTTAACTTTGATTTTGTTATCTTAATACTTAATAGGGTTCCACTATATTCATGGACCAACTTAACACTGAAAATTTTTATACCTAGAGGAAGAGTTTGTACATTATGTAAAAGGTGTATCCAAGGCATTAATGGGAAAGGTAGGGAAAAGAAATGAAATTTTGAAAATCTATGATGCTTTCTGCATATTTTACATTTAAGATTAACATTATAAATATTTTAGGTAAGTTTCTAGTATATAGATGACACAGCTTATCGCATTTTTCCCAAAGGGATATTTATCCCAAACTACCATTTAAGCCTTAATATAATGTTTATTTTGGTGATCACAGAGAGAAAAAAACCTCCAGGGGAAAGGATAACACAGGATAGCTGCTTTTGTGCCCTTAATTGTGCTTCTTATCAGTGAATAAGAAGGTTCAGAATGGAAAGGTCAGCACATTTATCCTGCTCTTTCCTGTCTAACCGTCATCTTTATGTAGGCCAGGAACACCATGCTTGCTTTCCCTTGGTAAGCCAAATGAAACTCAAAAGCAGCATCTTCAGTAACTATGAAAATGCAGTTTCAATTATCTCCCTAAAATGCATATGAGGATCTAATATTGTTGGTATTCTAGATAAAAGTCACCGGAAAAATGTGAATCCATATTATTTCCTTTAAGAATTGGTAATTTGTTGTAGTACCATAATATTGATACTTTAAAAAATCCTACCTTTAAAGTTTTAGCATTTGATGTTCTAGCCAAGAAATTTTCCCATGATTTATTAGCCAACTCTCTTTGCTTATGTGTGGCCTGTATCTGAAATGAGAAAGATAATGAAAAGTTTCAGTTTCTATGAAAGGATACCAATGAGCTTGAAAGTCCTTATTATGAAGGAAGCTTTTACCCTTTGGTAAGGTAAATTTAAAGGCTGACTAGCAAAAGGATTAGAGTACTCATAGAACTTAGCAATATAAAAAAAATGAAAGTCTTAAAAGAGAAAAAAAAAATCCTTTGCTCATTATGTGGCTAAAATTTGAACTGTTTTTCATGAAATGTAATGCATAACTGCTATTTTTATAACAATAATCATTCTCAGCAAGTCTGACTGTTTTACATGATTGCCACTAATGAAGACAGATAATACAGAACAAGCCACATAAATAATTTAATGGTGAATTCACAGACAAAAAGCTAGCCACTGACAATAGTTTAAGGCAAAATTATATTGGTAAAATAACTTCTAATTTATGACTGCAGCAAAATAAGCCATTTTTTGAGTGCTGAGTTTGTTACGGTGATACAGTCTAGAGAAGTAACTAAGCAAAATGCAAAGTCTATAGTTTCCAACAGACTATTCATTAAGTATATAATCAGAGGACACATGCTTTTAGCTAGTATCTAATACACCATTAAGCTTAAACTACTAACCTAAGAATAGTTAATCAAATGACTGCTAAACAACAAGTGGAAGCAGAACTATAATAACAAATCTAACAGTAATCAACAGATCAACAACAGTCAACACAGCACGCATTCTTTTTTGTTTTTTTTGAGAAGTTTTTGCTATAGGGTGCATGCGTTCACCAGAAAGACAGAGAGAGACAGAGAGACAGAAAGCGAGAAATTATCCCCCCAGGGGGCATGGCCATTCCACAATCCCTTCTCCTCCATTCTCCTCTTGGGATTTTGGGCATGCGCGCACACACGCCCGGCGTGAGTTTACACACTGGGTCTGGGACTCAAACCGCAGTCGGCTACATGGGAGTTCAGCCACACAGCCATTATGCTAACTGCAGGTCACAACACAGCACACATTCTGCCATTTAATCAAACTAATGATAATAAGGCAGAAATCCCAATTATGCTGCCCCATTTCTGAGCAAATAAAAGAGTTAAACGAAAGCACCCATGCAATCAAAACTCTTAATAAGCAACATTTTCAAAGAATTGGGTCTATAACATGGAGCAGAATTCATAAGCAGATATGCACAGATGCTCCTATTAAGAGGAAGACATAAATATTTAGTATCCTTGTGAAACGATCAGGCAATAAAAAATACTTTGGAAATCAACTTAAAGAATTTTAAATTGTTAATAAGAATCATAAAGAATTACAAAGAAGGGACCAGCAGATGGCATAATGGTTACATTGCTAGACTCTCATGTAGTTGACCACAGTTTGAGTCCCGGACCTAGTGACTTAAAACTCACGCCAGTTGCAATGTGCATGTGTGCTGAAAATCCCAAGAGGAAAATGGAGGAGAAGGGATTGTGGTATGGTCATCCCCCTGAGGGAAGTGCTTTCTGTCTCTCTTTTGTCTCTCTAGGGACCACACGTACCCTATAGCAAAAACATTCTCCTTAATTAAAAAAAAAAAAAAAAGAATTACAAAGTAGATGTGGAGAATCTATTGGGTCATTGGTAAAGTCATGACATATTTTTGCATAGAAAAACATGGAAGAATATGTCATGACTTTCCTGATGACCTACTGCAGTTCGAGTCCCAGACCTGGTTCTTTGCTTTCTCACTTTCCCTCTTTCTCTCCCTCTCTCTGTTTCTCTCTGGAGAGCATTTGAGCCCTGTAGCAAACTAAGAAATTTTTAAAAATCTATTTGTTATCATACACACTTTCCATGATTGCCATAAAATAGTTTTGATACAATAAATGAATCTCAGACTCTTAACACCATAGTCACATTTATTTATTTATTTTTAATGTTAAAAAATAATTATTTTTAATTTTATTTATTCATTCATTTATTTTAATTTGACCAGAGAGAGACAGACAGAGAGAGTGAGAGGAGAAAGTGAGAAAGCAAGCCACCAACGAGGTCTGGGACTGGAACCATGGTTGGCCATGTGGGAGTGTGTCCAGTGCCTTAACCACCATGCCACCTGCTGGTCCTCACCATGTTTACTTTTAAAACTCCATAAAGACACTGAAAATAACTACAAAGAGCTCAAATAAGATCAATACATCCTATGAATAAATTCATCTAGTTTATATAATATATTAAAGTTATTATATTATATTGTGCTTTGAATTTATCTGTAGCTTACTTTTGCATATACTTTTTGTTCATTTTGCACGTCTTGACGTACTTGGCTTTCAATCATTTCACTTTGCAGAGAAGCAACCATCTTTCCAATATTTTCTGATGCTGTTGTAATAGTTTCCAAAACTTTTTTATCTGTACTGACTGGTCTTAATTTTTCCAATTTTATTTCTTCAAATATTTCATTCCATATTTCCCCAATCTGTTATAACAAAGTTTAACAAATTTAAATGAACAAAAATAAATTATTTAATTTTTAAGTAATCTTTATGTGGATGGTTACTCCTGTTAACTTTTTTTTTTTTTTTTTTTTTTGAGAGGTTTTTGCTATAGGGTGTGTGTGTTTGCCAGAAAGAGAGACAGAAAGTGAGAAATCACCCCCCGGGGGGATGGTCACACTGCAATCCCTTCCCCTCCATTCTCCTCTCAGGATCTTGGGCACGCATACACACGTGCCCAGCATGAGTTTAAGCCACCGGGTCTGGTACTCAAACCACAATCAACTACATGGAAGTCCAGCAACATAGCCATTCCACCAACTGCTGGTTCTGACATTTAAGCTTTTCCTAATTTATTTCTTGGAAATTAAGTGCACTGATGAATGATTTAGGGTTTTAGTTATTGATACATTTAAATATTCAGAAGTAATTTACCAAATGCTTTTCTCTTTTTGGAGAGGTTTTTGCTATAAGGCGCATGCGTTCACCAGAAAGACAGAGACAGAGCGATGGAAAGCGAGAAATCACTCTCCTAGGGGGGATGGCCACGCTGCAATCCCTTCTCCTCCATTCTCCTCTCAGGATCTTGGGCATGCATGCACATGTGCCTGGTGTGAGTTTAAGCCACCAGTCTGGGACTCCAACCGTAGTCGGCTACATGGGAGTTCAGTGACATAGCCATTACACTAACTGCTGGTCCCCCAAATGCTTTTCAATAAGATCTTCACAGATGAAACTCCACTACCAACATCTATTAAGAGTTCATTGCCATCATCACTGCTTTCCGGTTTATATTTACTTTGCTTTCACAACTGCAATATCTGTTCATTTATTCCCATCTTTGTGAACTACTGCTTAGTTCCTTTCTAAGTCCTACACTGAAGGCTAGATCAAGCCAAGTTCATAGAAGAATGAATACAGGGATTTTCAGAACCCCAGAACCCAGATATCCTAAGATACAGGGCACTGTTCCTCACTTTCTAGCTAAGGAAAATTACAATTGAATCTCAAGCTTTTAACTCTATGGTTCCATAATTCTGATAACTCCTTCTCATATTCTAGGTCATCTAGAAATTAAAGTGCTGAGTATGTTAAAAATTAGAGGAATATTGTATACCTAATTTAGGAGTAAAATTCAGCTTTGTTTTCATCTGAAAATAGAGGTTTAGTTATTTATGACACTCAAATACATAATGTTAGTATCAGGACAATGTTTACTTAAAAAGACTATCTTGAAGCTTCAAAAGCATTTATTTGCTGACAAAAATATAACCAGCAAGGTAAGGAACCTAATATCTCTTGAAATTTGATCATGATATAAAGAATGATAAAGATACTACTTTAATAGGTAATAATCTATTTTAATAAGGAATAACTAATTCTAGTTCCTAATGCTCTCAAAAAAAAAAAAAAAAAAAAAAAAGGAAAGAGAGAGATACTTTTAAAAATCGTGGGGGCCAGGAGGTGGCATGGTGGTTAAGGCACTGGACTCCCATATGGCTGACGGTGATTTGAGTCCTGGACCTGGAATCTTGCTTTTTCTCTCTCTCTGGTGAGCACATGTGCCTGTAGAAAATTTAAAAATATTAATAATGATGATAAATAAAATTAAATAAATAATTCTTTAAAAATTCTGCTAGAATTCTGAATAACTACTGCAATAATATCTATTTTATTAATAGCTGAATTAAATCTTATCCCATGGAAAACATGAAACCAATTAATATTTTGTTTCTTTCACAGTATCAGATGCAAGTAGAAAATAAAAACTACCCAGTATGTAGATGATTTCTCACAACTATAAACAGATCTCTTATTTCCCAATTGAGTTTTTGTCATACTAGACTAAAATAACAAGATCATTAAAAAAGTACTTACTTTAAAATCAAGGTATCTATGTATGATACAGAGGGTGACAAAATCTTCAGCAGAGAGGCCAGGTAAATTTTCAAAATCTAAACAAAGTTTATGAGAAGAGAATTACATTGCTAGAGCAAGTGATTCCAAGAAACATGTCTCTACCATAAAACACAAATGCAAGTAGTTACTTTTGATTTCATATTGATTTATAAAAAAGTTATTTCTGAGAGTGTCTGTTTTTCTTTATAGCAACCCTCTCTCTGTCAGGTTATCTTTATCAGGTCTTAATAAGAAGAAGGATTTTCTGTGTGGTGGTCACATAGTGAAATCTTACTTTCAGAAGCTTAAGGGTGTTTGAGGAGTTTTTCCTTAATAAGATGTAAGGACTTAAAAAAACTCAGATTCAAAATGCTAGTGTTTAAGCCTAATCATTAAAATAACTCTCCTTAAACCTGATTGCACATAGGAATTACTGTGGAAGTGTTAAAAAGTACTAGTTCCGGAACCCCACATCCAAGAATTCTGATTGGGTATTGGGACATAACAGAACATGCATTTATCTGTATGAAGAAAATTTTGTCCATCGTGTTTGAAAAATGGACTCTAAAGCAAAATCAATGTACATAATCAGCAAAAAGGGAGGTTCTTATGAATTTAAAGAAAAATGTCTTACCTAGTTTGCCCAACACAGCATAAATTTTTGCCCTGATATTCTCAGCAACATCCATTACTGCAATAGATGGGCAGTTAGCAGGCAGTGGCATGAATTTTTGGTCTTCTTGAAAACTAGTAAATAGAGGTTTCTTTGTATCTAATCATTAGACATCATGAAAACAGAAGGAACAGATAAAAGCCACAGTAAATAAATACTTAATTTTGATGCTTTAATCTACATAACCTAAAATATTAAAAAATGTTATATCACCAAAATAGCCTTATATATAGCTACTCTTTTTTTTTTTTTTTTTTCTTTTTTTTTTTTTTTCTTTTTTTTTTTTTTTCTTTTTTTTTTTTTTTCTTTTTTTTTTTTTTTAATTTTTGCCTTGCACACACTGGAGAGAGAGACAGAAAGAGGAAAAGTGAGAAATTAATCCCCAAGGGGGATGGCCCAACCTCAATCCCTTCTCCTCCATTCTCCTCTCAGGATTTTGGGCATATGCCTGGCTTGTTGTTCAAGCCACCAGATTTGGGACTCAAGCCACAGAGTTGGCCATGTGAGATCCAGTACCTCAAATGCTATGCTACCTGCTGGCCCTGGTTCTTTTGAAAGCATAAATAATCAGCAATTCAGTCATTTCTTTCTCATTCTGTAGCAAAACTTAAGTTTTTTTGTTTGTTTTGTTTTGTTTTTTAAATTCCTTGCTTGAGGGAATGTGTGCTTGGCAGACAGAAATAGAGAGAGAAAGCACCTCACATTGGTTGTGGTTATGCTCCCAATCCTATTTTCCTCTCTTTCTCCTTTTGTTAGGATTTTGGGCATGCACATAGACACACACCTGGTGTGTTTTTCAGACTGCCTGTGGTGGGGATTCCAACTGTGGTGGGCCATGTGGCATGTGGCTCCCTTAACTATTCACCCCTGGTGAGATGGCCATGCCACAGTCCCTTCTCCTCCAGTCTCCTCTCCGGGTTTTAGGCATGCACACACACGTGCCCAGAATGAATTTGAAGCCACCAGGTCCAGGACTTGAACCGTGGTTAGCCACATGGGAGTCCAACGACATAATCATGCCATCTGCTGGTCCCTAAAGTAAATAACTTTTAAAATGTTGACAAAAATCAAGTCAATATGGATCAAAGATCTAAGTCTAAGACCTCAAACTATAAAACTGTCCCCAGAAAACACTGGGGAAACTCTGGGAGACACTGGATTAGGGAAAG